AGGAGGTGGGGCAGAGGAGACCACTATAAGCAGGGGAGATTCCCCTATGGGATGGAAGGGAGAGCTCTATAGGACAGGGGTGTGGACAGGGAGCTCTTTTCACACCACGCACACACACACAATGCATTCCTATACACACACAAAACATAACATGCTTCCCCTACACACAGAGAAACACACAATGCAACCCCCACACATAAAGACAATGCATCCTTGCACATATACACAGAAACACACAATGCATCCCATACACACACACTGCTTCTCTTACACACACACACACACAGGAAACACAATGCATCTCTTACACACACTCAACACACCCCTTACAGACACACACACTGCAAGCCCTCACACAGAAACACACTTTGCATCCCTTATGCATACAAACACAGATTCACACAATGCATCCCTTACACACAACAAGAAACACACAATACATCCCTTATATACAAACACTCACTGCTTTCTATCCCTTACACAAAAACACACTGCTTCCACTACACACAAACACACTGCATCACCTACACAAACTGGTATCCCTATACACTACATTCCATAAGCACATACATTAGATCCTCTAAAGTAACACATAACACATCCCCTACACACTCCACTCCCTGTGAGCAAACTCATGGGTGGAACATGTAGGTGGGCTTTATGGGCATACTCACCGTCAGGCCCTAGGGCCCAGACCTTGAGCTATGTAAGAGGCCCCAAAAAATGGAGCTGCTTCCCGTTCTCCCAGAACATTGGATTTTGTGACCACAGTTACAAACAGCCTCCGGAGATCCTGTTCTACACCAGACCAGTGGAGCCAGACTGCAGCCAGAGCCCATCACCATCCTCATCTGATTGTAAGTAGGCAATCTAGTATATTATTAGTGACACTAATCTCTAATTTACCTCACATTAAATGGACACTATAGTCACCAGAACCACTGCAGCTTAATAAAGTTGTTCTGGAGTCTATAGTTTGTTCCTGCAGGAATGTAAAAATGTTAATGTAAACACACACTGTGTGCAGCACTAGCATTAGTTCAAATGGCA